TTCCCATTTATTTGCCTGAGGCTGGATGTGCTGCAGAAGGGACTTGACGGCAAGTAGCCATAAAGCACCCATCTTATGTGTGTCAGGGGAGAACTAGAGGGACGGACAGACAGCTCTACGACCCCGCTGCCTTTTGTAGCCCTCTCTCCCCAGGACGAAAGCTTGAGCAGAACTTTCTAAGGGCTATGCCAGCACTGAGCTGCCTCCCATCCTTGTTGCTTCCAAGGAATCAAGTCACTTCCTGCAAGACAAACACGCAGAGGCTCTGTCCCAGCACTGTGCTTTTCTTTTATTTATAATATTTTGTTAGGACCCAGGGGGAAAAAAGAGTAATAAACCGAAACTCAACCGGAACGGGAGAGCTGAGCATCTCACCTGGCCCAGCAGCCCTCCCCTCCCCACAGAGGAGCTGACCAGTCAGCACAGGCTGCTCTGGCGAGACATCGATGCACTACTTGTGTTTAATACATTAAAATAACATTTGGGGGCTTCTCCAGGCCCTCTTTCCCCTCCCTCCCTTAGTCCCTCCCTCCCAAATACTGATAAATGTCAGATCATGCAAAACCCTGATCCCATCCTGTCCAGGATACGCGCTCAGCCAGCCAGCCCTCGTGCCGGAGAGCCCACCCAGACCCTGTGCTCTAAGAGCTCCCCTTCGAACCCCCAAGGCGTTTCAGAGGGCAGCGGGGGAAAGAGAAGGGGCGTTATTGCGGAGCGTCTCCATCCTCCGTGGGCTAAGCCTTGCCAGCGGTGTGCTGCCGCAGAGCCGAAGAGATGGCTTTACAGTCTGTCACCTCCTCCGGCAGGCAGCCCTCCTGGTCCCGGAGCGTAGGATCGGCTCCCGACTTCAGCAACAGCTCCACGATGTCCAAAAACTCGCAGGCAGCAGCTGGAAGGAGAAAGGGAAGGGTTAGTCTGGGGATCCTGACCCGAGGCGGCGGTGACGGGCGTTTCTGGAGCGGCTGCTGTAGCCGGCGACTTCCCGTGTGCGTGCCAGAGGCAGGAAATGCCGCCTCAGCACCTGGCCAGGAGGAGCAGCTCATTTTTTGAGGCAGTGTTCGGTACTCAATGCATGACTTTTTGCCTTTGGATTTAATAGCACGAAGGAAAGAGAAAAGCCAGAGCGCAAGCGATGAAAAGCCAGACGTCCTGAGAGGGTGTTACTGGTGCCACCACGGAGCCCGGGCAGCTTGCAGGGCATCACCTGGGACGATGCACAGGGTGCTGGGGCGCAGTTCGGCTCCTTCACGTCCAGGGCTGCAGACAGACCCTGGGAAAGGCTACTGCAGCACCACAGAGAGCCCCAAAGTGCTGCCTCGGAAAGCCTTCCCTGCCTGCTTTTGTACCCAGAATTTATAATGCATTTCTAACTTATAACACATTTATAAACCCCTGCCCCTCACCTGCCTCCTGAACCTCCCAGGGCTCCACGGGCAGCACGTCCCAGGCAGGACATCATCAGTACTGCCTCGCTCCCTGCTTTCGCCCATCATTTCTCCTTGAGGAAAATTCGGGTGGATTTTAGCTGCTGGCTGGACTTTCCCTGAGCACCAGCTCCAGGGGCACGTGCCCATGCCCAGGGACAGCCGGTAACGGCACACCACTCTCAGTTTAACTCACACCTCCCCTACCAACTATTTTTTCCAATCCCGATTTACTCTGCCAAGACAGAATCAAGTTTGACCTGAGCTCTTCTCTGTCCCAGGGACGTAACAGCCTGGCAGCTTTCAGCCCCCCCCCACCTCCAACCTTGCTTAAGGATGTTAAAAAACCAAGAACCAGGAAAACCAGGAAAACTCTTAACGCTGAAGAGCTGGGCTTGGCTGATACCAGCAGAAGTCCCAGTCCCTGGATTTTCCCTTAAGCCCGTGCAACGCAGATCCTGGTGAAGCCAAAAACTGCCTCAGCCCCCATCTGCCTTATGAGACCGTGAAGCCGGCAGCTTCCTCTCATACTGGTAGCGATTGCTTTTAATTATATTCCAGGTGCTTTTACAACATAACCGACTAACTCTTTTTTGCCGTTAAATGTAGTAATTAGCGTGTCTTTTGCATTACTCTGCAGTTTTCTACTGACCCAAAGGAACAAGCAGCAACGTTTAATTAAAATAAATCTGACGTGTGATTGCAGCTTATACTGACAAAGATAAAAAAAGGGGGGAAAAAAAAAGGGGGTGGTGGATGAAGCAGGTGGGGGTGTGGGTGAGGCTGA